GTGTCTCAACCAGCRTGAATTTAACAACGGTTCTCATCAGGCAAATTAAACACTTACAACACTCTTTCCCTTTTAGTTGCCCTCTTCTTCTGTTACTAGGTGGAAACAATTTAGCAATGACTTTATTAACTGAGATCCTCTGTTTTTCCTTCCTTCTCTTTCCTTTTCCCCTCATATTACATAAGCAACATGCAGCTGTAGTATAGAGTCAAGAATACGGGGTTTTAAATGTAAGTGCTAGGAATAGAAGTTTCACTCTCAATCATTTCCAGCCCTAATGCTTCTGAGTCTACAATAATTTAGTTAGAGCTGCAGGAGCACTAATCATGCTGAATTTATATATTCTTCTTTATGTTAATTGCTTCACTTYAAAGGCAGAGGGCATGTCTGCTATTTATCTTCTTCCCCTTGCACTCACACAATCCCACACACTCTGTTCCATTTACCAGGTTAATATCCCAAAGTACCTTGGAGCATGCATTAAGCTGCCCTATCTTAAAGTGGGTCAATATTACTGAGGTGCATGGTAGGATAAATGTTCAAATTGTGKAGTAATTTGAAGAGGAAGGTCAACAGATTAAGCCCCCTTTCTMAAAGCAGCTTCTTTTAAAACTGGTATCATACTAGCTTTTGTACAGATGCATCTCAAGTTTCACGTGCCCACTATATATGTATGTCTTGACATACACATCCATATATACACACATACAAAATAATCTGCATTGTACCTGGTACTATTGTGTTCCAGTGGAAGGAAAGGTAAAAGTAGAAGGGAAGGGAGGTGGAGGGGAGCAGAGCAAAAATTAAATCTTGGTTCTCTTGGATAGATGTACATCTAACTCACAAACCAGAGGTTTCCACTGGAAACCTAAAAAGCAGAGTGCTCTGTAGTCTGTCAGTTCCCACATGAGCTGTGAGTCTCAGGGGCCTCAGTGGTAGCCATTGAACCTGACCTCCACCCAGGTAGGGTCATTTTAAACTGATTCTTGGCACATACACAAGACAGGAAGGCAGAGGTGATTTGCTTTTGCCAGAGTTCTGCTTTCTTGTCATTTGGGGAAAATGTAAGCTAAATAGAAAGGAAGATACAGAAGGCACCGAAATTGGTTGTTTGTGTCTTTTTTTTTAAAATGCAAAGAGTAGATGTACAAATGTCAGCAGTGGGAAGAGAAAGAGGAAATAAGATGAAGCAAGGGAGAGGGGACTGTAGGTAGTGGAGGAAAATTATGGGGACAGGAGAAAAACAGCATCGAAGAAAGAGGACCAAAGATGGAAGAGGGACAACACAACTAGTAGCAAAACAAGYAGAAAATACCCCATAGACCTATATTCTCCTTCCCTGTCAATATCCTATGAACCAGTGGTCGTTACAGCATTTTACTCATTTCCCCATAGAATATGTAACTGAAAAACACTCTATRTCTCAAGATGGAACTGTTTTCTGTAATTCCCTCCTCTTACACCAATGTGAGAGCTGGCTCTCTTAGAAGCAGCATACAACTCCACAGCAGGTTACCTTCCAGTCACTTTTATTGAGGCCTGACATTCTCTGAAGATATGTGAACTTATCCTTCTCTACTTTCTCTCCTTCTCTACCATTCATGGGTAGCTTGTAGAGGAAATTGAGAGGTACAGATTGATTGTGCTTCACACTTCACTTCTGTCAGAAGAAAGAGGGTGAGGAAATTGTTCCTGAAATTAATGGAGCAATACACACCTTTCAAAGCTGTATGTCTCAAGCCATATTCATCCCCATTTTGTACTCACACTCAGTTCAGGACATCTGACTTTGATGAACACATAATTTCACACTTTTCTGAAAAGCCTTCTGCTTAAGGGTCAATGTCTTCTAAGAGCTGCATAATCCCCTAGGCAGTTACGTAACTGCCTTGAAATCTGGCATGGTTACCACAGGTAGTGAGTAGAATTATTGATCTAAATTAGAGGTCACTTGAGTCAAGAATTCCCAAGATACAGCCTTTTTCTAAAAAAATCTCAGCATTCCTTAACATTGACCAATTGTATCAATGTTTCCCTTGGGCAGATACCTAGAATAAAACTATGACCAAGGAGTCTCAGTTGCTCAATTATGCTATTATGATAGCAAATGAAAGCCATCAAGTGTCTCCTTGGTATTCAGAGTTCAGATGTTTTCAAAAATTTCTACTCCACACATTAAGCAAATTAAATATTCAAGACTTGAGGGAGTTAYTGACCCTTTGAGTAGGTCTGAACACCTCCTTTTATACCTATTTTATACCTATATAAAGCCTGGCAATTTTTTTTTTTTGTTGTTGTTTTTTGGGTTTTTTTTAAGAGGASGAGGTAAAGAATCCTTCTTTTTGCAATTACTAAATGCTCAAAGTTAGAAATCAATTGCAACTAGTTCATTTTGAAAATTAAGAAAAAATGGAAAAGGTGGAACACAGCTCTGGAAATAGTTCAAAAGGGATAAGAGAAYGGGGACAGTGTAGATGGGTCAATGGAAACCTGCTCTAGATTCTGGTGGCACCTCAGTTTACTAGGATCATAACCATATCAAAGGCTTGAAAAAAACATGCATATATCTACTGTGCAACAGCAGTGCTATGTGCAARCAACTGCAGAGTACCAAGCATCTGCCATACATGCTACTTAAAAGACCAATGACTTAGGGGAACAGATAGGATATATAAACTGAAAATGGCAGCAGGAGAGTTTGGGGACAAAAAAATTGGCTCATCTTGACAAAAGTACTGTAATTCATACAACTACATGCATACATGTACATACATACTGTACATCATACACTAGATTGAGAAAAGCCATGTCTAAGAAGCTGCTCCAGCTCATATCCCCACAAATTCATTTTGAGACAGACAGCAGTGCACACTCAGTGAGTGAACGGAAAGGTCTACAGGTGTTTTTTTCCAGGTAATGCACCTTAGGTTTATATTTTCCATATGCTGGTAGCTGTAATGCTAGCAAGCAATCAGTGATGAAATTAAGGTATTTTTCAGTGAAATTCTGTCATTACTGTTTTGTCATTTCCCTTCATTTCTCAAGGGTTGACATTTTTTAGCATTGAGAAACTATTAACTCTCTAAGTAACTTCAAAAATAAATTTAATATAATTTTTTTAAATACTCCATTAGTGAATAAAAGCAATTGCAATGTGTGTGAAAAAAATATTCAACTTCCATTAGAATGCCAAAGGTGTTTATTATATCTGTGTTTCATAACTGATTGCCAGATGAATTCACAATAATATGACTGAATACTTTTGAAATGTCTGCTTCAAAAGTGTGTATACATTCACAAACTAGCACATAACACACAGAAATTCAGCYTAAATTATAATAATAAAACAGAACACAAACTCTGAGAAAAAAATTACATAAAGCAGTAATTGGAAGAGCAACAATGTAATCTGATTAACTAATAGCCACAGATATAAAACCAAATTAGAATTCTGGCAATCCAAAGAACAGCTGTTCCTTGAACTTTAYTTTCTTTTTCAGATAATGCCCATTGAAAAAAAACAACCATGTCCAAAATTARCCAGAAGTAATGAACTATTAAGTAATTGATCCATGGTTGGCAAAACAGCTTTCTCCCAAGGTACCAGAGTACATCAGATAAATGCCAAACTTAATGAAGTCCAAGTAATAAGTCAACACGAACCAACTTTGAAAGTAAGACTATGCTATCTAGACTATCTATCAAGAATACAAGAGTTCAAAAGTAGGTTGAAAGATAAACTGTGTCTTTTCAAGGGCTCAGAACTTACAGCATGAGTGGCCTTGTCTATGCTATCACATATCCATTTTTTACAAGAAGAAAGGTAAAAGAGTTCCAAAAGTTAATCAAGAACAGTTGTACCATAATTATTTTAGAATTCAAAGTCACCTAGTACTTAATTTTTTTTCACCAGGAGCAGGACATTTGAAAATAGACAAGTAAAACAGAGACAAAAGCACAAGTGCAACCCGAAGAGACAAAACCACTCTCTCCACACTCTTTAATGACTCAAAATTCTGGTTCTCAATATCCAAAAAATGTGTGGGATTGAGAGTGGGAGGTGTGGATGTGCTACTGAAACTCTTTTTCTTGGATGGAATGGGAAGGGSAGACATCTGACTTAATGCTTCCAAACACCCCTCAGTGATTGATAACTGTTACAACAACTGGTTTGTTGACAAAGACACAGACGGGCCAAGTGTCAATATGATAGTATGACTTTCCTTGAATCATTGACCACAGTAAATACACCACCTCTTCTGCTCATCCCCCAAAGTATGAGGTGCAGCTGAAGCCATCTTTGGAAAGGTTTACACAGGTTAGTTTTTACTTCAGTTATATAAATTTGTCATCCTCTCCATTACATAGAGGGGCACTCCACAGATGCAAGACCTTCTCAAACAGAATRAGCACGATAACTAAGATATTTTAATCTCTCAATAAAAGAGGTTTTGTGCTTCCTCTTAAAAAAAAATTAATTAAGTATTTAATAGGATGATTCCCAAATAGAAAACTAAACACATATCCTTTTGATTTGAAAAGGAATGGCCCAGGGAGGATCTGGGGCACCGAGTACAAAAATAAAGAACAACTAGTAAGGGAGTAGCAGCAAGTGGAATTCCCTTGGATACAGAACCACTCAGTGAAAATTTTTAAATACCACAGCAAAAGCAAATGGTGGTTCAAGCATCTTTTTCCAGTAGCTACATTCATCCAGGAAAGCAGAAAGTAGTGGTTCCACTAAAATTCAACTCAATGTTAAAAACATATTAAAATGATTTCTGAAAACYTAAATATGTGGTCTGGTTTCTTTAGTTCACATTTTAGTCTGTGTGCAAAAGGCAGAATATTTAACATCAGTAAGCTTTCATGATACCTATTTAAAAAAAAAATAGAGAATCTCAAAAGAGTAAAATAAAATTTTCACATCATGAGTTTGTTATACAGTACCATTTGCATTAAAAGATTAAATGTAGGTTCTCCCATTTTAATTAACTTACCGGGTTGACAGTATGTCAATAAGTTCTTTTCTGTTCTGGACTCTGAGTGTATTAGTTTTGTATCTGGAATCTTTACTAACTTCAAGCAAATTCAGGATCTAAGTAAAAATAAAAATAATTAAGAAATGTGCTTGATAGAAGATATATGTGTAGCTAAAAAAAAAATTACTGATTTTTTTAAATTACTGATTTCCAAATATCACTACTTGTTATCAATCATTTCATATAGTTAAAGATATTAAAAATTTAATTATTACAGTTTTGTAGAAGACTCCTGGTTAATGTCACTTAACAAGTAAAGGAAAAGGAGAGAAATCAAGCTGAATATCCAAATCCTCACTGACAGTTTTCAGGATTAGCTGGGAGAAATTCTTACTATAAAACACTATTACCATGAGGTAGGATAGATCTGTGGGATTATCCTGCACTAAATTATATGTCACAGAATAAGAAGTAAATCTGTACTTCATATGCTGGACTTAGAAAAGATACATCTAAGATTATTTTTTTCCACTTCACTAACCTCTGTCAAAAAAAAAAGTCCTTTTCTATTGAAATGTCATTGATTTTCTTTATTACTTTTTTTCCAAAACAATTAATGAAAAAAATGGCAGTGTAATCTCTGAGAAATGAGAAATATATCTTTTATGTGTAACTCCTGCCTGCCACATTAGAAATTTACACAACATGTGAAGACAGTGTGTATTATCCTATATAGGGAATTACATATGCTGAATGATTCTTGGAATTTTGTAGAAGCATTCATTAGAAAAAACAACTATGTGGAAAATCAATATAATTTACCTATTTGTGCCAAAATTACTTTCTATGGAACATAAATAAACATGATTAAAAGTGATTTCTAAACATAATTTTAAAATACCTCAATTACTTCAGCTACAGAGAAAGGCAGCATAGAATCTTATAAAGAAAGAGACTGTCAAATATTCTTCATGTACTTTTACTCACTAACACACACTAAAGATCAGTTTTTCTTATGAGTCTTACAACCCYTCTAAACATACTACATTTTTAATACAGCCATTTCTAAGATGGCTTACAAAAAAAAAAGTGTCTCAAATCTGAAGTTCTGATAGCCCTTCATTCTATCTCTACTGTTGTCTGAGTGCTGATGCTTTARGAAGAGTTTAAGAACAGGATCAATACATACAACACTTCCTTACTCTTTATCCAAACTCTACTCCTCTTTTGACTAGGACATATCTGAGTTGGAGGTGTTTTCTGTGTATTTAGCAATCATCAATGGATTTATGTTTTATTAACACGTTCCGTCGCTCCTTGAGCGACAGGTATGCCTGTGTAGCACCACATGTAAGTGATACGTAAATTGGTGTTAATCTCTCGGATATTAACTTCAAACATAACATTTTAACTCCTCTGACACTGGTTTAGACCAAGRCCACTATCACTTTATGGCTCCTGACTTTGCTGGAACGAATAAGGATACAGCTTCCTTTACAAGTGAATAGCTTGATGAAATAAAACCATTAGCTAAACCAATTCTCTTTCGACAGATATTTAGAGATATTCAAAACAGATAGTCACCTCTGGCAAAATTTGTCACCTATAGTGACAAAACTAAGCATGGTATCTGTAAGTTAAGCTAGAACAATGATGATGTTACAAAACTTTTCTGCAGATTTTATATGCAAGGTAACATAAAACATCAATCTAGCATCTTCCATCAATACTTAATTCAYAGCATATTTTCTTTTTCTTCTGCATTTATATAATCTAGTTTACGGAAATCACAACATTTCATAATTTAGCATTAGAATATAATTTAGCATTAGAAAATAGCTAAATATTCCCATCTGGAAGTTTATCAATGCTATTGGTACCCCTTAAAACTATTTCCTTTTTTAAATGCTGCTATTTTGGAGTTATAAATCACTGCTTTAGCAAAAAAAAAAAAGTCCTGCAATGTTGTTCAAAGTAAATGATAGTGAATACTTATGTGAGCTTAAAAAAACAATAAATTTATCAGAAAATCATTTATTTGATGAATTATATGAAAAATGATCATATGGAGTTGCTCACTCTACTGTTTTAATTAATGTTACTGATTTCGGCTTTAACTTAATGACCATCTGTTGTAAAGCTACATGCCTTCTTTTCAATTTTTTTGTGACTAACAACTGCACACTTGAGAAGCTATTCATTAATGTACCATTCATCTTTCTGCATCATGTTGCCAATGCTATTTTCTTTATTTTACTGTGAAAATTTTAAATGAAAATGGTGTTCTATGCTTGAGGCCTTGTTTAAGCACTAAGATGCACACTCAGAACTCAGGAGGTCTGTTTTCTCCTGCAACACCAGCAAACCTTTTGTACTCTCCATTGCTGCAAACATTTCAGTCTTCAGAAGACTCTTTGCTGAATATTCCTGTTCAGAACAAATCAGCCACAGGTCAGGATGTGCTGTTGTAACACTTGACCACAATGAAATGCAATTCGGCAGTGTTACCAAGTTTTTCTGCAATTATCCAAGTCCTCAAACAAGCTACAGTTAGTTGTCACTGATTTTGAAAATATCACAGTGAGTTATTTCAGATTTTTCTTTCTGCTTGCCTGAAAAGATAGAGTTGAAGCAGAATGTTTGCCATTGTTTACAGCTTTGGCCAACTGTTACATCTCTAGAGTATGTGTCTTCAGGGCAACAGCTTCCATACAGCCTGATTTTCAGCACCAACTCAGCTAAGAAAGATTCTCTAATAGGAATCCCAGTCTTTGAATTAGTGGTCTCTGTATTTACTAAAGTTCACTGGGGTTTTGTGAGCCTTCCTGTAGTAAAGTTCCTTTATTGGCTTTCCCTCTTCACAGTGTTTTAAGCTCCAAATCACATTGACTTAGCACAGAGCATATCTCTAATGGATATTCATTCCAGCATTCCAGTGACTTCCACATCATTTCATTTCTGGACACTGTTACAGCCCAAATCCATACCTACAATATCTTGGTAAGGGTAAAAAGCATTCCTTTTAGAAACAAATATGATAACTGGTGTACAGAAAAATCTAACAATTACTCAAAACTTGAGCTATTTTTTCTGCTTTCTTAATCCCTTTGAAATGTAAGCAATCATCACTTTCCATGCTTGATGTCTCTTACTTTCAATTGTAGAAAAACCAGAACACATTTATAAGGATTAAACAAAAGAACAACAGCCTGCAGACCAGGGCTAATCATCTCACTTAATTTTTGTCCTATTGATTCTGGGGTAACACAAATCATTAAAATCATGCTTCATCTCCTGGTGTTCCATTCACTCTTTAATGATTACAGATGGAATAGGTAGCAACAAGGCATACTGTAATTCTCACAGCTGTACCCTAAAGTGAGGTAAAGTGAGTGGTCTAAAGTTTTAGTGCCTGCTACCTCACATCAATATGTCAGAACACACCAAGGCAGATCTTCAACTCTTAGGATGGCAGGATGACAAGCCTTTGCTACATAATTCTTCACTTTAGATGATAAAGCACCAAGAAAACATTCATAGCTATGTCCTGGGACACAGATTTCCTTTATGAGATAACGAACCTTTGATAAAATTGAGTTGTAGCAGRTAGACACTCATTCAGCTATTAGTCTCCATTCATGTTAAGATAGGTAATGACGACTGTATCAAGAAAACCCACTGATCAAATTCTGAAAGGTTGAGTGCCAAGTCAAGTAAGTGAAAGCAGACTCCTCCAGACAGTGAGGTGGAGATACGCACCCCAAATTGTACTACAAGAGAATCAAAACTGCACTGTCCGGAGTTATTAGTGGTGAACACCCACCGAAATGTCTGACATGAACAAATGGAGGAAAATAATGCTCAGTTTCCTGAGTGTCATGTTATGTTAAATATCCAAATTCCTAGAGAAAAAAAACCCAATGGCCAAAAAAGTAATTTTTTTAATGTTGTCTAATACTATATGAAAAGCTTCTCTTGTCCCACCTTACATGTTACTAGGGTTTTTTTGTTTGGAACATTGACACATTTTATTTAGAACAATTTTTTATTTGAAGATTGTTCTTCAACATCATATCTCTGCACCACTGCATAATCAGCCCAGAGTCCTGTAACACTTCTTTTCTAAGAAGTCCACAATTTACTCAGCAAGCACAGATCAGCACATGGCAGTGCTCAAAAGGACCATGCACTTGAGTACTGCTTCAAGTAGCACAAGAATAACTCATCTTCTATGTTTGCTTCATTAATACTTTGTTTAACATGTATTTTATGGAGAAACGGTGTGACATATTTTCCTGAAATAGACACCACGACACTCACCATTCCAAAACTGGAAGGTTGTGAGGTTGGTCAATTTTTTTTTTGCTAATCAGAAGTGCACAGATTTCAAAAGGGGTTCAGTACCACAAGTTTCGGAGTTGGTGTATTCTGAATTCAGGGCCAAAACATTCACACCCCAYATCAGATGACCAGCCAAAACTGCTGGGTTAGATTTTATACTCACCACTTACCTCCATTAAATAAATAAATAAATAAATGAAAAGATGCAATYGGTGCCTTAATTTTCCTAGTGAGAATGGAAACTGTTATACATTTCTGTACTCTTGCCTAACACACCTTGCACAACGTGACAAACTGATGATCATTTCCAGCTCCCACCACGATGTAGCCATCCTTGGTCTTAAAGGCCTAGAAGAACAAAGATAGGTGATAAGATGCAACTAAACTATAAAAAATCAGCACATCTTTGAAATGAAACTTTGTAAATAATGTTCAAATTACTTCCTTAAACATTTCTATTCAGACCCAATCTCTAGTTTGAGCCATAAAAGTGGCTCAAAGTCATCCATCCACAAAGATGGATGTGGCCCTTTTGATTTTCTTTTCTAGAGATGAGAAGTTACCTTGGTTGATCCTTTATTTGATGAAAATGTGTCATGAGCCACCCTGAAATTTAATGTGTCCCACACTCGAAGGACTCAGAAGGATTATCCTGATAATGTTTACTTGACAGGAGATATTTTTTTCAGCTTCACTCTTACCCTGACTCAGAGTAGACAGCTGCATTGAATTGTCACACACCCATACCAAATACATTAAAAAAAAATATTGACAGATAGCAACTACAAATTCAGAATTACGATGGGAATGAAAGAGATAGACTGCATCTTTCCAGCTCTTCAGCTGGAGATTAAACTATCTCCTTGGTCAGTGGTCTCAGGATGCATCTCCTAGAAGAAATGGGACTCTTTTCCAGCTTTAAAGATTTATGTTTCGCTTTTTACAATGGCCTTACTGTCACATTTCATGGTGAACACAACATTGAGCTGGGTAGGGTATAACAGCTTTCCTTTCAGGCTAAACCATCTCACTTAGATTTTCATTGGAAAAAAAGAAAACCTGTAATAGGCAACATCCTCAATTTTTACCATTGTCTTAGGGTGTCCTCCAGAATTGGATAATTAAAAYAGATTCCTCTTTTCTCCACACCTCTCTCTTATGCAAAGGTGTGTAACTGCAATTTGTCATTCATATTACCAGCCCAATTTTTGCAATCATTTGGAAAAAATTCTTTCACAATCAATTTGACTCCAGTATAAGAGGCCAGCACAGGCTGGTACACTAATGGTGGCAGGGTCTTGCAATACTTTCTTGCAGAGAGCAAAACTCTTCCATAACTAGAAACCTTCCTTGTTTTGGTGGGGTTTTTTTATGAGCTATCATGTCCTGATTTAAAGGTGTGAATTCTCACAATAAATTTTGGTAAAATAACACACAAATATAAGTCCAGGCATGGAAACCCTTTAATGATTAAAATTCTCATGCCACAGTGGCTTATTATTCTTTACAGAGAGCAATAGGATATCTCAACTTGCAGTCTTTCCTATAGACACAAATATATTCACTAAGACTCTTTTACTTTATTAGTCAAAGTTTTAAAACTTTATGTGGACAATCATGTTCACTGAAATGCAAGTAACTGTATGTCATAATTAAAATATCACCTGTTTGCTCTATGTTTCATTTMATGGCAAAGTTCAGCACTTTATTTTTCACACATTTAACTAAGTACTTCAGTCTAAGATTCTAGGAAGCAAAGATTAAATTCAGCAATTAGTCCCAAGCACGAAAGAAGTACCATTGATTTGGCCCCAATACAGCAAAAGTTTAATAACATACATAATATAAAGGTACTATGTGCTCMCGCTGAGAAGAGCAGTAAGCACAGAAAAAGAATTGGGGAATTGAATGAAAAAAAAAAAAAGATTTGTATGTGAACACAGAAACATTTCTTAAATAAATCTGTTCATAAAGACCTCTGTCCAAAAAAATAATGGCTGATCCTAGTATAAGAATATACAAGACTCTCGCCCTACCAGTAAATGGCTTTTAGTGGGAATAATTATGAATTAAAATTGTCAGTATAAGTGCACTACCTTTTAGTTCCAGGCAAAATCTGTTTTCTGAACACCAAGCCCAAATCCTGATTTGTCTTTGCTGATGTTCTGAGTTCTAAAACTAGCCTCATGCACCCCACACAAATTGCGGGTTAAACACTGTATGTATCAGTGCATATGTAACACAGTACAATTTCTACTGGTGCAACCCCCTACTACTTCCTGTAAACACAAATTAGAATTCTTTTGTACATTCTTTTAAACTTTCAGTCTGGATGCCTGTTACACGTCACAAAATCTACAGTATATGCCATATGTACAGATCCCCTTCCTCAGCACTCCAAAATGTATWCATATTGGGCAAATCTTAGAGAGTTCATTATTTATCAGCAACTTTTTTTGAGACTCACATCTCTGTAAGAAGGCTGCAATCACACAATAGCTGTATACCATTGTGAGGCATGCATCTGTACCCACTGGCTGCCCATGCAGCAGCGGAAGTTTCTCTAAATTTAAGGGCCTGGCTATTAGCATGTGTGCTTCAGTTGCTTTGCGGAATGTGTGGGAAAACTGATTATTCTTAATTGCACTCTATATCTAAAATGCTAAAATAACAATTATGTCATCCTTACAAACAAAAATCGTATCATAATAAATKCAGCAGTGCCTTTTTCCATGCAGCTTAACTCAAATGTCTTTGGCTGCTATTTTAAGCTTCCCATTACAAAACAGCTGATTATTTGCCAGTCATTGCTGCTGATAAAGCAGAAACTCCCAAATGTTACTAGCATAATATTGATGCCAACATTTAGGGGTGACAATGGTTTTATTCATCACCCATAAATGTACATACACTACAGGTTACCACAGGTTACCGTCTGGTGACAGAAAGCTTCACAATCTTATTATACAAAGGAGAGTAAGGGCAAAGTGTGCACAGATTTTAATGAGATTTTGTTTTGATAAACTGCTGTACATCACATCAAATCATTTCACATTAGCGCAATAAAAGCCACCACACACACAAGGCAAAAGTCCTTTTTCCCTTCCTTTCTCAGAAGAATGAGGCCTTCTGATAAGATTCTTGAGAGCACAAGCATGAATTAACCCACTACTCCCATGTGGTATCCTGAGCAATAGCACATCATTTGGTGAAGACAAGAAACAAATACCATGCAAGAAAAAATTATTTGATATCTCAATCATTGAAAAGGCAAAGACAGATTGTGAGCATTCAATGGTGTAGTTAGAGTTTTTTTGTGAAAATTTGAGTGTTGCTAAGAAAATAATCCATAAATTCACAGTGAATGATATCTAGTACATGACATCAGCACATGCAAGTTCAAAGGCAGATCTCGAGGTCTAGTGTGTGCATGTATCACCACCTCACACTGTCTAATGGATGTTACAGGACCTCATTAAGACTCAGCATTTCTCCAAATTTGATCCTAGAAGACTGTGTACACCTGAGGTACTTTCTGCACTGAAGCACTTTAATCTCCCTAAACACATGGCATATAAACTTTTTCTGCCTTCATGAATGTTCTATGTGGTTTACAACTATTCTCCAAATTTGCTACATAGACTACACAATAAAGATGCAGGCCAAACCTAACCTAAATTATAACCAGAGCAAGCAAAGACTTGCTGAGATAATGGGCCTAAATGAGCCCTTTTTTCTGCTGCTCTAAGTCAATAGCCTTTCAAAATTTGCCAGCTTTGAAGGTGTAAATGAAAAAACATTAGTCTTTGTATTCATTGCCTGCCTTATGAAGGCATATATGTTCTATGGCAATCATCAATTAGACGTAAGTATCTTTGCATGTGTTTTCATTGCATGTTGATTCCACAAAAAAAAAAAAAAAAAAAAAAAAAAATAAATAAATAAATAAAAGGGACCAATCAAAAGATATGACAATTCTAATAGTCCAGGTAAGTTTTCAGTATTTGAGTCCAAAACACAGAAATCAAAACAACACAGAACATCTTCAGGTGTGTAGGCTAATGCTCCACTCCCCTTCATCAGGTATTCATACACATTCATAAGACATCCTTGAGCTTCCTCTCTGCCTCTTTAGGCTAAACAATGCCAGATCTCTCCTCATATGAAAGATGCTTCAAGCCCTTAATTATTTTCTTGCCCCTTCACTGAACCTGTTTCAGTATGAGCAAACCCTTGTCCCAAAAACCCAAGTAGACCCAACACAAGTAGACCCAGTTGTAGATCCATAACTGGATTGAGTGGTTGTACATCCTCAGTGGTGCTGAGCAGAGGGAAGGATCACCTCTTTTGACCTGTTGATAATTTTCCTCCTAATACAGACCAGAACAATCCCTGTGTCACAGCAATACATTACTGCCTCATGTTCCTATTTTTGTTCGTCAAGACCTCCAGGTCTTTTTCTGCAAAGCTGCTTTCCAGCAGGTCAGCCTCAGTCTGTACTGATGCATGGGATTATTTCCTATCATGTGGAGGACTTCATACTTCCTTTTGCTGAATTCCATTAGGTTCTTGATGGCCTGACTGTCCAGCCTGTCACAGTCCCTCTGAAAAGCAGCACAACCACCTGCTTGGTGTGTATCCTGGTGGTTCATGCATCAATCATTTGATGCATTCCACAGATTTTGTAAGCCAAACAATACTTGGAGAGAACAACAGAACAAAGCTTTGAGTTTTTCAAATTGTAGGATTAGCTCACATTTAGGAGAAGGTAAAAGCTTTAGTTATCTGAACAAGTGATTATTTTCATTGACCAGTTACCATGTTGGCCAGTTTTCTGGTAATAGCAGTCAATGGTTGAAATATTTGAAAGTTGCCTGACCTCCCCTTGGAGGAACCTTTGTACTACATTAGATATGGTAAAAGGGGTGTATTACTCATATTTATGAGTTTCCTTATCTCATGTTCCTGTGGGAATAACAGTTAGGATCTGTAGAGATACTTAAAATCCCTTTCCATTGGGGATACCTAATGTTAGACACCCTTGGATTTTAAGTATCTTTCAAGACAGCACTGCCTTTTGATTCATAAGCTCGAACAGGGGCATCCCTAAAACCATCCAACAATGAATCATGAAGGGAAAACTTGAAGGTTTTGCGATAGTCCGAATGTACTGGTGACTGCTGGAGCAGGACTTAAAGGGACTTGAATTTTACATGCCTTCTAACTGCTCTTGGTCTTACAGAGCAAGAGGCTGTTTGCTTCAACTGGCTTCATCAAGCAGCTTGCTTAAAATTTTGGAAAGAAGCTACCCTTGTGTAAAGGCTAGATACAGTATTTCTGTAAATTAC